AAGAAGAAGAAGAAGAAGAAGAAGAAGAAGAAGAAGAAGAAGAAGAAGAAGAACAAGAACAAGAAGAAGAACAAGAAGAAGAACAAGAAGAAGAAGGATTAGAAGAAGGAGGAGGTGGAGGAAGCAGAGAAGCATGCAGTAACGAGTAACACTAACAGATAACAGACCCACTCTTGAACACCAGCACAGTAGTTTTGTTTTGATTCTTCAGATTTTAATCATCTTAAAAGAACAAAAAAAATCATCTGTTTTGCACCTGACATCAAAGCTATCCTATACAACAACTAAAAATGATTGACAGCAGTGACAAAAAGGTGATTAGCTGTCCCCGTGGTTTTATACACCCCGCATAATTTACCAAAATCTGACCATTTTTTGCATAATTTTTTATTATTCTAATTTTTCATTCTTTGTTAAAATTAACAGAATCGCATAATTTCACATATTTGGGCTCAGTTTGCATAATTTCAGAATTTTTCTTGCATAAAACGACGGGGACAGCTCTACCAAAATAAAGTCTGTACTCATGAACGCATCCATTCCCACATGCACACAGCACTCACATCCTTGCCGCCACCCCTCGAAAATGTACATGCAACCCCTCTGTCACACAGGCGAGTTCAAAACAACAAATATACTGGTGAAATTCAAAATGTGATTTTGCTCCACCAAAGAAACATCCAGCGTACGCTTTGCACATGAAGCAAAGACTAAAGGAAAATTACACACGCACATAAATTTATATTAGGCTAATACATGATGTAAACATATACATACATACATACATACATATATATATATGTATAGGTATATGAATCAGTGAATCAGACACTGCAAAGAGTGGACGAGAGGTCATGGATGACACGTGGTGAACTTATTGCACTGACAGGTTTGTGGCAATGGTCGTATCACATCAACAACAACAACAACAACAACAACTACAAAACAACTACAACACCACAGCATCATCTACTTCTACCACATTCTTTATTGAACTAATCTTCCCCCACCAAAAAAAAAATAAAAATGAAAATGCGGCATCACATCAAAAACTTCTAAAACACCAGAACATAATCTGCAACATTCTTTATAGAGCTAATCCCCCTCCCCCCTCCCCCAAAAAATTACACGAGTTATCACATCAACAACTTCTTGAACACAAGAACATAATCTGCAACATTCTTTACTGAGCAA